TAAGCCACGGGGTCCTTCTTTAGCAGCTTAGCAGGTTTTGAAGACAACGTTCTCTCTGGCGGCTTAGATTTTTTTATTAACGGCACCTCCTCTTCCGAATCTGAATTAAACAGCATTATTTTTTTTTTTAATGTATCCGTCCACAAGTAAAAAATACCCTGAGAGAGAAACTCTTCCAGGGTCCCTTTAGATTTAAACCCGTCTTTCTCAACCTTGGCAAATTTAAGATATCTGGACTTGGACTTCCAGAAATTGCCTGCCTAGCCTAGATTAGAAGTCTTAATAACCTTCAAACTAATTACGACTACGCAAATGGAATTTTTTTTTTAAAAAAACCCTGAAAATCATTTTTTTCAGTTTTTAAAATCGATTTTTGCAAGCAGATGGAGGGGGGGCAGGAATTTTTTAAAATATGTGCAAGTGACTACAGCCTCAACTAGGTTAAAATTCTTGTCTGCAGAGAAGCACTATGGTAATAGAAGCACCAGAAAAGAGACTAGACATTCACCTGTCTGGGATGGTATAGGTTCTTCTGCTTGAGCAGGGGGCTGGACTAGAAGATCTCCAAGGTCCCTTCCAGATTCTATTCTATTCTATTCTATATTTTACATTCCTTCTATTCTATTCTATTCTATTCTATTCTATTCTATTCTATTCTATTCTATTCTATTCTATTCTATTCTATATTTTACATTCCTTCTATTCTATTCTATTCTATTCTATTCTAATTTTACATTCCTTCTATTCTATTCTATTCTATTCTATTCTATATTTTACATTCCTTCTATTCTATTCTATTCTATTCTATTCTATTCTATTCTATTCTATTCTATTCTATTCTATTCTATTCTATTCTCATTATGGACAAGATCTTAGCAATCCTTTATGATCTAGTTCACAGAAAGTCCCTGAATCAAACCTCAGAATCAATGAAAGTACAAGAGATTAAAAAAAAAAGAATCAGAGTCCTTGGATCACATTTGCTAGTTAAACGGATGACAGCGAACTGAATGGGAACAAGTCCAACATAATGAAGCAGTGATACTACGGTTATGTTTGAACCTGGTACCTTCCAGGTATTATTTTTTTTTTTACAGTATTGTCCATCATTTCTGGCCACGATGGCTGACCCTAATGGAAGCTGTAGCTCAAACCAGCTGAAAGGCACTGCATGGTAGAAGGCTTTAGTTTAAAGAGATTTTTTTGTCCAGTTAATTTCATGTGAAACCAGTAATTTTATTGTGAATCCAGGGAGGCCTTAATTCTAGATAACACATCTTACGTAATTTAGGAGTGAAAATTATTGGAGGGGGGAAAAAAAAAACCTACGGAGATTTCCCAGTTGTCTCTCCGGAAAAACCTCAGCAAACAGAAATCACCGCGGAGATGTAAAATAAACCTGGAACATTAGTTATAAGGCTTACCTGAATCGTAGATGATCCTTTTTTTCTTGTTCACCTGTTTTTGCTTGAAATCACCTTCGTGAGATGGAGTTTTCACCTAAGGAAAGAGGCTCGTTATTCATCAGAACAATTCTGTCAATATTAACGCGTTTATAGGACGCTGCGTGAATCCGTAAACTTACCTTGTGGAGGATCCATTTTCATCACCCTAAACCAGGGGTAGGCAACCTTGGCTCTTTTATGACTTGGTGGACTTCAACTCCCAGAATTCCTGAGCCAGCATAGCTCAGCTTGGAAACCTCTCCCTTTCCCCTCAGCGTGGCTGGCTCAGGAATTCTGGGAGTTGAAGTCCACCAGTCATAAAAGAGCCCAGGTTGCCTACCCCTGCTCTAAACTAATAAAGTCTACATTAATTAACATTAATTATGCTTTCATATGTTCCTCTAGGTCAGGGGTAGGCAACCGTGGCTCTTTTATGACTTGGTGGACTTCAACTCCCAGAATTCCTGAGCCAGCATGGCTCAGTATGGAAACCTCTCCCTTTCCCCTCAGCATGACTGGCTCAGGAATTCTGGGAGTTGAAGTCCACGAGTCATAAAAGAGCCAAGCTTGCCTACCCCTGCCCTAAACTAACTGTTCATAATAAGAAATCCTTAAAATTCTTGAATTCTTCCTGAAGCACCAAGCGATCACCTCCCCCCCAATTCCAGTGCCTACTGTGCCATCCTGTGTCCCCCCCAAGGTGTGTGAGGGACACACGCTGGGCCCTTAGGTTTCCCAGACCCTGGTTCCCCGCCACACCCTCCACCCAAAAATGGGGTGGGTTTGCTGTGACCGGGTCCTCCCTGCATGTGGGATGCAAGCTTGCTTCACCGGAGGCTCCAGCCCTGGCCGGATCGTGTCCACTTTCTTCTCAGCCAGGGGGGGCTCTCGTTCCAGCCCCTCGGCATCGGCACCGTTTTTGGGTCTGGGGGCTCGCTCTCCTGCTTGGCAGACCTCATTGCTAACTTTGCAGACTGTATCACCAGAGGCTTTCAAGAAAAGACCGGACAGCTAGTTGTCTGGAATGGTCTAGGATAGGGGTAGGCAACCTTGGCTCTTTTATGACTGGTGGACTTCAACTCCCAGAATTCCTGAGCCAGCATGGGGGAACTATGGCACCTTCATGACTTGTGGACTTCAACTCCCAGAATTCCTGAGCCAGCCATGCTGAGGGGAAAGGGAGAGCTTTCCAAGCTGAGCCATGCTGGCTCAGGAATTCTGGGAGTTGAGGAGAACTTAAAGTTCCTAATTTAAAATTATATTATGATGCGGTGGTTTTGACATGGATTAGTGATTGGTTAAATTTGACAAATAGAAATATTCTTTCTCTTGAAGGATGGGATTTGTTATTTGGTTGGCAGGCATATTTAATTTATGATAAAAAAGTAGATAGAATTTTTAAGGCTCATATTTTGAGAAGTGCTTTACTTCGANATTTTAGGCAGGGATAATTTTAAAAGTATTTAATTCAAAACACAGCTTGTAATATTTGGTTTTAATTTGGCTTTTATCGGGGTTTATTTTCTGTATTTTTGTATTTTGTAATTTTTTGTATTTTGTGTTTACTATTTGTTTTTAATATGCTGTGAACCGCCCTGAGTCCTATGGGAGAAGGGCGGTATACAAATTAAAAATAATAATAAATAATAAATAAATAAACTCCCAGAATTCCTAAGCCGGCATGGCTCAGCTTGGAAACCTCTCCCTTTCCCCTCAGCATGGCTGGCTCAGGAATTCTGGGAGTTGAAGTCCACCAGTCATAAAAGAGCCAAGGTTGCCTACCCCTGCCCTAAACTAACTGTTCATAATAAGAAATCCTTAAAATTCTTGAAATCCCCCTGAAGCACCAAGTGTTCACCCCCCCCAATTCCAGTGCCTACTGTGCTATCCTGTGTCCCCCCCCAAGGTGTGTGAGGGACACACGCTGGGCCCTTAGGTTTTCCAGACCCTGGTTCCCCGCCATGCCCTCCACCCAAACATAGGATGGGTTTGCTGTGACCGGGTCCTCCCTGGATGTGGGATGCAAGCTTGCTTCACCGGAGGCTCCAGCCCTGGCCGGATCGGGTCTACTTTCTTCTCAGCTGGAGGAGGGGGGGCTCTCGTTCCAGCCCCTCGGCGTCGGCACAGCTTTTGGGTCTGGGGGCTCGCTCTCCTGCTCGGCAGACCTCATTGCTGACTTTGCAGACTGTATCACCGGAGGCTTTCAAGAAAAGACCGGACAGCTAGTTGTCTGGAATGGTCTAGGACAGGGGTAGGCAACCTTGGCTCTTTTATGACTCGTGGACTTCAACTCCCAGAATTCCTGAGCCAGCATGGGGGAACTATGGCCCCTTCATGACTTGTGGACTTCAACTCCCAGAATTCCTGAGCCAGCCACGCTGAGGGGAAAGGGAGAGCTTTCCAAGCTGAGCCATGCTGGCTCAGGAATTCTGGGAGTTGAAGTCCACGAGTCATAAAAGAGCCAAGGTTGCCTACCCATGGTCTAGGACAGCGGTTCTCAACCTATGGGTCGGGACCCCATTTGGGGGTCGATCAACCATTTCATGGGGGTCGCCAAGCAAGGCTGTCCGCCATTTTTTTTGTCCGCCATTTTTTCCCCTTTTCCGGTGGGTGCCTTACCTCCCTTGGGCTGGGCCAGCTGGTGGTCGGCCTGCTCCGTCTCTGCCACTTGCCAGCTACACCTCGGCCGGCGCAGGGGGCGGAACCATGCATGCTTGGCGCTCCCGGGCAGGGAAAGTCCTCGACTTACGACCGGTTGGGTAGTCCTCGACTTACAACCGGTTTAGTCCTCGACTTATGACCGGTTTAGTCCTCGACTTACGACCGGTTGGGGGTCGCGGCATTAAAAAGGTTGAGAACCACTGGTCTAGGATCTCCTGCTTGAGCAGGGGGTTGGTCTAGAAGACCTCCAAGGTCTCTTCCAGCCCTATTCTGATGGATTGATTGATCCTTCACTAACCCGCAAATCATTTCTTTGATTTATTTAGCTGCCGATCTCACAGGGAGACTTAGGGTGGCTTACGACAAGTAAAAGCAACACAAAATATAATTTTAAGGACAGCCACACGTGAAGCCTCATATCTCTGAAGTATAAAATGATCCAGCCCATCATCAAGGAAAGGCTTTGCCAAATTAAAACACGCCAGGAAAAGATATTGCTGCAAAAAGATCACAAAGCCGTCACCGAACTCTGAAATATTTTAAACTAAATACGATATGCTCACCTTGCTTTCCTTCAGTGTCGACGTTACCCCTGCATTCCTCTCTTTATTCTGGGATTTTTCCTTTCTCACAAGGCCACACTCAGGCTTCTTCCCTGGATTCACAACTCCAAAGAATTTACGGATATCCTGGTAAAAGAATCCATAAAGCAGATCTTTTCTTCTGCAAAATTTCAGGACGCACATTTGGCAAACAATTCCTATCGCGAAGCATAAAAAGTCTGCTGTTTAAGTGCTTAGACTCAATTTTATTTTCCAAGTTACTGAGAATACTACAATTTGCTAGCAAGTTTAAACAGTCTTAAGCTCGGCTATATACTGTAAATCCTGAATCTCTTAGAAATATTGACTGTAATTCAATCAGTACTTAGGATATGTTTTTTTTTTTTTAGCCCTTTGCTAAATAAATTATCCAGGGGGAAAAAACACTAGGAAAGCCATTTATGTTCAAATGTATAGGTGCAATTTCAACAGATACAATTTGATGGTTAAACTCCCAACAAGTATTGGAATAAGATTGTTATTAAAACAAGTTTCGGATCAAGATGGATGTACATCTTAAGTAGCATTTAATGAGATTTTTTTTTTTAATAGCAGGTTAAAGACCCTAGAGTATCTCTGGCTAAATTGTGTTTATCTAGTGAGGATGGCAGCTTTAACCGATCAGATTTTCAACCATTATTATTGAGGTTCTATTTTAATGCTTACATTTTTGGGGAGTAAGATATGATTTCTCTCTTATTTGGACCTTTTTGAAGAACAACTATATAACACCTTTGAAATCTTGGCAATTTTTAAAAAAGCCAAATGCCAGGAATCATTGTTACTTGCTTTGAAAACTCTTAGCCGCACTTAGTAATTAATTGCTAAACAATTATATTTTTGACCCTACATCCCACATAAGTTGATCCTTTTTATAATTGAAGTTTGAAAATAGCAGGGAAGATTTTCCATTGGAATGCCCCTAGGCTAAGAAACTAGTACATTAAACGTACAGATTTTAATCAATGCTTAAAAAGATATTACTTTTGCGTTGGACTTACATTAGCTTGAAAAAAAAATGATATAACTGAAGCATGTATTAATTAACTAAGCAGTATGGCTTAAAGCAGTGGTTCTCAATTTTTTTAATGCCGCGACCCCAACCGGTCGTAAGTCGAGGACTAAACCGGTCGTAAGTCGAGGACTAAGCCGGTTGTAAGTCGAGGACTACCCAACCGGTCGTAAGTCGAGAACTTTCCCTGCCCGGGAGCGCCGCGCATGCGTGGTTCCGCCCCCTGCGCCAGCCGAGGCGTAGCTGGCAAGCGGCAGAGACGGAGCAGGCCGACCACCAGCTGGCCCAGCCCAAGGGAGGTAAGGCACCCGCCGGAAAAGGGGGAAAAAATGGCGGACAAAAAAAAATGGCGGACAGTCTTGCTTGGCGACCCCCATGAAATGGTCGATCAACCCCAAATGGGGTCCCGACCCACAGGTTGAGAACCACTGGCTTAAAGGCTGTAGAGTCTCTGAGATGCCTACAAGTCTATCTACACTTCAACAAAATCCAAGAATGCAATTTTATGAAGTATTACAAGGTGAAAATAAATTTACCATCAGGTATTTTTGATTTGTAGAAGAAAGAATTGGAATAATATTGAATTCTAGAAAGTCAATGGGTCCATATATTAAAAAAAAAAAGGGAAAATGCACTTCCTTTGATTTCTGAATGAGTTCATCAAAAACAAATTTCAGGTGTATTGGACCTCCCCAGAAATGTTTAAAAAGGATATTAGACTTCTTATAATGTAATCTAATTATTCTATTCTATTCTATTCTATTCCATTCCATATTCCAATATCTATTCTATTCTATTCCATTCTTCTATTCTATTTATTCTTCGTTCTTCTATTCTATGCCATTCCATTCTATTCTATTTCCATTCTATTCTATTCTATTCCATTATTTTATTCTATTCTATATTTCAATATCTATTCTATTCTTCATTCTTCTATTCTATTCTATTCCATATTCTAATATCTATTCTATTCTATTTCATTCCATTCTTCTATTCGATTTATTCTTCAGTCTTCTATTACATTCCATTTTATTCTATTTCCATTCTATTCTATTCCATTATTTTATTCTATTCTATATTTCAATATCTATTCTATTCTATTCTTCATTCCTCTATTCTATTCTATTTTCCAATATCTATTCTAGTTATCCTATTCTATTCTTCATTCCTCTATTCTATTCTATTCTATTCTATTCTATTCTATTCTATTCTATTCTATTCTATTCTATTCTATTCTATTCTATTCTAATCTAATCTCCAATATCTATTCTAGTCTATCCTAGTCTCTTCTTCATTATTCTTCATTATTCTTCATTATTCTATTCTATTCTATTCTTCATTTTTTCTCTTCTATTCATCTCTCCACGGAATTGATGTTTGGTGAAGGCTTCCACTTCCTGTGTTTTAATCTTGACCCAAGTATCGCCCACATACCTATACTAGTGAGCGGGTGAAAATCCTGGGAAAGAGTTTAGGGCTTTGGTTTCTACCTCTTGCAGGTAGAGATTGGCCCCCATTATGTCAGTACCTATCCCTTCTTCCCTCTCTGACATCACAATTGATGAAACTTCCTGGATGAGAAGCAAAACATTTCTTTCGTTTTTCTTCCTCAAGTAAAAAACAGCCCGGTTGCCTTTTGAAAAAAAACACCTTTTAGTCCTATTGCTATGGTTTTATTTTTGGTTCAACTGAACACACGTGTTAAAATAATTTAAACAAAAATATTACACTGAATAACCTCTCAAATGAATCATGTCTCTAAAATCTATCTATCTATCAAACTTGGAATACAGCAAAGTAGATAAAAACTATGGAAAGAAAAACAATATTTGATTTTAAGCCACAAAACCTTGACACCACTGTTATCTACTTCTGAAAAGTCTTTTGTTCTAAAAAAAAACAAGATAGCACAAAGCATTGCCAAACAATCCAGATTTAGTCAGCTTAACTGATTCTGTAAAAGTATGAATAATTATTGCATAGATCTTTTTTCTGTTAATTAGAAAGGGCATTTTATGTTTAGGGTATTTAATTACCATCACATATTTTGGGAACTTTTTTTCTCCCATGTATAATAATTATTCAGTATCTTTCCTTTTATATTTCAGTATTTTGATAAGTAAAACCAACAACAAAAAATACTGGAACTTATTTATTTCCAATAAATTTGTTTGCTGAGGAATTAATTATTCCATTGGGTTCAACAAAATTAGGACTGGACTATACACACAAGCAGCTAATCAAACAGTAAAACAGTCAGTGCTATTTCAGTTCAGAATTGGAAAACATATGTTCAAAGGTAGAACTCATTCATTCACACGGAAAGTAAATAATTAGCAGGACGTATTATCTCCTTGTGAAAATTTTCTGGACATGGAAACAATGGAATGGAAACACAAATATATGCATTTCCAGAGGTGTAACCTATAACATATTAAAGTATAATCCGTTAAAATTTTTATTCTCCATGGCTTCTGCAAACTGTGAATGCTATGACACATAGGCCAACAAACTCTCCTTAGATTATAATTCTACTTCAAAAGCAGAGTAATAATTCCAATACTTCCAAATCAATATGTACATATTAAAGGGCTTAAATATGATTCATGCATCTACTGCCACTCAATTAAAGTGCCTAGTTGTCCACTGCATTTTATGGTAACTACATGCTTTTGAGCTGATAATCAAAAATCAGGTCACATTTATTTACCTTAGGATGCTAGTCTATATTATCCTACAAAGAGATTTAAATGCCTTCTCATAACCAAATTATATATTTCGTATCTTATGCTGATGGTCATTTAGCCCTAGATGGAACTGTCAAAGTTTGATAAATGCTTTTGCAGTTTCTTTTTTTATATATAAGTACAGCAAGCATACATTCTTTTTAGAAAGCAAAGATAAAAAAATAATGGTGCAAGACAAAATAAACGGTCGGATGTCTTTCTCTTCCCACCTTAGAAACTAAAATGTTTTCTCCCAGTTTTACCAATTTTATGAGAGAGCAAAGACAAGATTAAAGAGCTGTACACCAATGAAGCCAAAAAGTACATTCTTTGGCACACACCTATATTTACAAATACAGAGAGAAAAGCTAAATGTTGATCAGAGGAAAGAAGCCATTTCCAAATATTACTCAACAGAAAAAAAATAAAAGTACTGGAAACTGAAGTAGGTATCAGATAAAATTATAATTATTCCAAAGCAGTGAGAAAATATCCACTTTCCTACATGGTTGATTTTAAAAAAAGATGGATAAAAATGTATGTTATATTGCAGTTTTATCTTTTCCCGATGCAAAGAAGGCACAATAATGCTTTGTGTTATGTACTACACAACACTGAACACAGCAAAACCACAAGTCTGATCCTGTGCTCAGTGTATTGACATTATGAGCATCCTTTCTCACCTAATTACATACAATTGCACAAAGCATGTCGAGATTTTAGAATGTCAAAATAGCACAAAAACCTAAAAACTTCGACTGTCAGCCTGTCTTGAAGGTTGCTAGCTTCCTAAGAGACAAATGAGAGACAAATGTTGTGAAACCACTATCTATATTTAATAGAGTATACAGTGATTGTATCTGCAAACATGTTTACCAAGAAAGTCATTCCTACTGGGTTCACAAGGACTGGCTGCTAAAAATGCATGCAATTGAAGATTTAATCTATCAGCACTGATAACAGTCTGTATCCTTGACCTATATCCTTCTGAACCCAGACAAGATGCTTAGGGAATAACTAGAGAAAAACAGGAGGCAGGATACTTGATAAGCTAAGTTTGTTGCTCATGATAAAATCTAAAAAGCAACAAGCAGGCCACTTCTAAACATAAATCTGTACTCATTTTAAATTTAAAGGCGTCTGTGATCGTTTCCACTCCATTCTACGTAAGGAGGATGTCTTTTTATCCATTTTTTTAAAAGTATCAACTGAAGAAAAAGACAGACTGTTAAGGACAAGTGCTCTCATCCTAAACAGCTTGGGTAACCTATTTTAGAATTAAACAGGAGACAATGAATAATTCCTTACAAATTGCTATAGAAGCAAAGCATATAAAAGAGAGATGTAGGAAAAAATTGAGCTCTCCATACTGACAAATACTTCCAATTTGCAGCCATGAAATACATCCAAATTGCTGAAATTGGCCACCCAAGAAATTCCAACAAGCTCTGATTTGCAGTCAGGAATATTTGGCATCTTTGCCAAATATTCATTGTCGATTTCAGAAAAGGCATCTCTGTGTTTGTGCAATTTTAGCAGAGGAGTATCTCTAAAGGCATGGAGAAAACAGCGCTGATACAGTCTCCTTATAAATAAGGAGAATGGGACAGACAGACACACACACACACACACACACATATAATATATATATGGAAGTTTCTGTGTTGTAAGTTGAGGACTACCTGTATACTACATTAATTTTAATTAATGTAGTATACAGGTAGTCCTCAACTTACAACAGTTCATTTAGTGACCATTCAAAGTTACAATGGCGCTGAAAAAAAGTGACTTAGGACAATTTTTCACACTTACGACCTTTGTAGCATCCAGCTGGGCACATGATCAGAATTCAGATGCTTGGCAACTGGTTCATACTTATGACCGTTGCTGTGTCCGGGGGGGGGGTGTCATGTGATCCCCTTTTGCAACCGTCTGACAAGCAAAGTCAATGGGGAAGCCGGATTCACTTAACACCCGTGTTACTAACTTAACAGTGATTCGCTTATCAACTGTGACAAGTCGCAAAATGGGGCAAAATTCACATGTCTCATTGGACCACAGAAATTTGGGGCTCAATTGTTGTCGTATGTTGAGGACTTACCTGTATTCAACAACTCCCAGAATTCTGGGAATTTCTGTGTCCTAAAATTAATGGAGGATATCCAACATGTCTGAAATGGTATATAGGTTCTCCTGCTTGAGCAGAGGGCTGGACTAGAAGACCTCCAAGGTCCCTTCCAGCTCTATTCTATTCTATTTGATTAACTCCCAGAATTCCCCAGCCACCAAGTAACTTATACAAAGCCACAAAAGCGGGGCAATACAGAATAAAGCGAGCTGGAAGGGGCCCTTGAGGTCTTCTAGCCCACCCCCTCCTTGCTCGAATACATAAAAGTCAATATACTGATGAGTATTAAGAAGGTTAGCTTGACTTTCTTTCCACCTGGCATTGGATTCCTGCTAGGACCGAAACCCAAATCTCTCCCGGACCGAGCCTGAGGCAGAATAAAATGAAAATTTCAGCGGAATAATTAAAAAAAAAGGGGGGGGGAGAGGAGGAGAGGAAAGCAAGAGCCCCCGTTAAAGATTACAGCCCATGCGAGCCCCCTCCCCTCTTTAAACCGGCCAGCCCTGGCTCCCGAGACCCCCCTTGACGGGTCCCTAGGGCCAGGCCCGGGCGAGCAAGCCGGCCACGGCCGCTCTCACCATGTTCCGGCCTGACGGGCTGCCCGGGCGCCGCCACCGCTTCCCTTCACGACGCTTCCCGAGGCGGCGGCGCGGCGGCCATCTTGGCGCCAACGGCTGGGCGCATGCGCGGGGTGACGTCACGGCGTGGCGCGCGCGCGCGAAGTAGGCCTCGTTTCTCGGCCCCGCATCCCACCGCTGAGGTAAAACTGAGGTTCCCTACCGCTTCACGCCGCTCCGGCTTGACTCTCGTCCGTTGAGGAATGCGGGCCAGGATGGATGAAGGGATGAATGGGAATCGAGGAAAAAAACAAACAAACAAGGCCTGCCGTTCTTCCGGGCGACCGTTAGAGGGCCACGACGTTGGGCTGTGGTGCTGCCCTCTAGGGTCCGGCTGAGGTATTGCAGGCAAAATGGCGTGGCTGTGTCTAAATCAGGATATTTCATCCAGGTGCAGTTCCCTGGAAATACAAGATTAGAAAACTTCTGGGATATCATATGGAATAACAATATATCCCAGGTTTTATACATATATGTATATGTATATATGTGTATATATGTATATACATATGTATACATATACATATACATATATACACACACAAACATATATACAAACATATACATATATTTACATAGACATACATATATATACATAGACATATGTAAACATATATATATATATAACCCTGTATCCCATACATACATCCCTATACATATATATAGACATACATATATATACATAGACATGTATACATATATATAACCCTGTATCCCATACATACATCCCTATACATATACATATATATACATATATATACATAGACATATGTATACATATATATATATATAACCCTGTATCCCATACATACATCCCTATACATATACATATATACATACATATGGTAAAAGCATACGAACGTAAATGAGCACCAGGAAAAACAAAACTTTTAAAAAGTTTTAAAAGTTTTAATAAATAGTGATCCAAGCTTTCGCCGGCATCTTCAGGGATCCATGTCGGTCAATGGGAGGGTGCTTCTTATATTCCGGCCACCTAAGAAGTGCCCTCCCATTGACCGACATGGATCCCTGAAGATGCCGGCAGAAAGCCGGCAAAAGCTTGGATCACTATTTATTAAAAATTTTTAAACTTTTTAAAGGTGCTCATTTACGTTCGTATGCTTTTACCATGAACACTCCCAGGAATCAATTGTCGGTTTTTAGCATTGTTTTTAATACATACATATTTATATACATGCATATATATATACACACACATATATACATACACAAGTATATATGTGTATATGTATGTGTATATATATGTATGTATATATGTATGTATGTATACACAACACACACACACATTGACTGCATGTCAGAAAGCCGCCAAAGGTGATCACATGACCTCGGGACACGGCAACTGTCATAAATACGAGTCAGTTGCCAAGTGTGTGAATTGTGATCACGTGACCATGGGGATGCTGCAATGGTCATAAGTGTGGAAAACGGTCATAACTCACTTTTTTCAATGCCATTGTAACCTTGAATGGTGATTAAACGAATGGCTGTAAGTCGACAACAATCTGTATCACTATGTATAGCTATCTCTCACACAAACACACACACACGCACACACTTCGTGACGTTGCGCTGTGTTGAACCCTAGCATGGTGAGATCCAGTTGCCGTTCAAGATGGTCCCGGTTCGTATTTATAAAAGGTATTCATTAACCTCGTTTGCAACATGAAACAGGAACTGGCACAGATTCAGTTCCTCTTTATTCAAAAGAGAGGAGATAAGAACTTGAATGTTGATTCACAGCTGACCCTGATCAAGCAGAAAACTTGATTTATGCTTCCATTTGGAAAGTTCGCTCTTTAATCCTTGGATGGTTTGGGAGGGGGGGGAGGAAAAAAGAGCTTATTTCTGCTGTTGTATCTCTCACTCTGGAGATGATGTGAAATATCTCTGTCTCAGAATTCAAAGATATTCTAGCAAGGGCATCCCCACAACATATTAGGAGGTTGGACTAGATGACCTCCGAGGTCCCTTTCAATTTTATCATTATTATTATTATTATTATTGTGCTTAATTACAACAGTAGAACGTCTCAAAAGACAGAGTGGAAGGCTGCCTTTGTAGAAGTCTCTGTATTCTTTGCTTAAAACATGCTGGAAAATAACATCCTTGTGAGCAGCGATTGTATATTTGTGTTCCAGGATGACATCTTTTTCTTTTATATATATATATATGCGATGGAACTATAGGCGAGGATATATGTTGATAAAATCTGCAATACACATTTCACCACCAATTCTTACACCTCCACTTTAGCGGAGAGTTCTCTTTATGGAATTAATTTTCTAGAGTAATGAACAAGCAGGATTGTAACTTATCTGTTTGTAGTTTTAGTTTGTGATCTGCGGAGTTGTTTCCTGTAATTTCCTGGTGTTTTGTTTTAATGTTATACATCGTCCAGATTCTTCATGAGTCAGGCAGCTTTATGTATATGTTTATTAGATTTTTAATCCCACTTTTATTACTTTATAAGTAACTCAAGGTGATGAACACACACAATCCTCCTTCCTCTCCTCTTTTCTCCATAACGACAACCCAGTGAGGTGGGTCAGGCTAAGAATAAGTGACTGGCCCAAAGACACCCAACTGGTTTTTGGCTAAGGCAGGAAGAGAACGCACATAAGCCAGCACTTTAGCCACCACACAAAACTGGCTCTATCATAACTTTGACAAATAAATAAATGTATATTCCAAAAAACAATAACATCACTTACAAATCAGAGAAAACAGCCAAGGATTTGTCCGATGTCAGATTTAAAAGAATATATTTTTCTGCCTCATCTGAAAATCAGGGTGAAAAAAAAATGAGGATTGGCTTGTTTTGGAGTGCAATTACAGCATCCAGAGGATACCAAAACCCATCTGCTTTTGTGTAATTGTTGCCAAGGCCACAAACATTTCCAACATCCAGAGATACGAACAGCTGCTGACAAAAACACGTACATTGTGAACCTCGAGAGCTTAAGAGGAGATTTTGTGTGTGTGTGTTCTTGTTGTTGTTATCCGTTGCAGCTTTTGCCCTTGCAGCTGGCATTTGATTCCTTACTTGAGGCCATGGTGTCTCAAACACAATTACTTTCTATTCCCTTTAAATATAATCAAATCAAGAGTTAGCATCTTCTGACAGCCGACAAGCTCTGATTCACAGCTTCAGAAGCAGCTATAAATTGGGATGCGTTCAGGGTTAGATACCCCGCCGGCGTTCCCCAGTGGACAGAAGAAGCAGAGTTAACAGAGATTATTGCCTTGCCTCTCACCACCGATCCTAAGTCCTGTAGTTCAAGCTAATTATTAACAGGGCTTCTGGAACCACAAGATATTTTTTTTTTGAACCAAAGCTTTGATAAGACGCTCCAGGGATCAGGAGGCGAAGGAGACAAGCTATGCAGCCAGGAATCCAGGAATCAATTTTTGGCAGCCTCTAAAACAGAAATGTGACTTTTAGCATCTGCTCCACAGGTATACAATGGCTGGCTGGCATCTGAAGGGTCTATGGGTTTTCTTTTTCATGCGGTCCATTGCTGGATTTCACCGGAGTGGAATTTCTGTCTGGGATAAGGATCCCCGTTTAAGTCCTGTGAATGAAACTCAGCTGTTCCTGCGTGACACGTTCCCTCCCAATTTCCTGTGGGGAGTGGGAACCAGTGCCTTTCAGGTGGAGGGGAGTCAGCAAGGGGATGGGAAAGGTGCCTCAATTTGGGAACACTTCCTCCATTCCAACTTCAGAGATGCTTACAGGACGGAGGACTGGAGCAACAGCTACACATTCCTGGAAAAAGATTTAGCCGCCCTGAGTTTTTTGAGGGTCTCTTCCTACCACTTTTCCCTCTCCTGGCCGAGGCTCTTTCCTACCGGCATGGTGACAGCCGTCAATCAGAAAGGACTCAGCTACTACAACCGTCTGCTGGATGCTCTCGTCCAGAGAGGCATTGAGCCCGTCGTCACCCTGTACCACTGGGACTTGCCGTGGGAACTGCAGGAGAGATACGGAGGCTGGGAAAACGACTCCCTGGTTGACGTTTTCAACGACTATGCCACTTTTTGCTTCCGAGCCTTTGGAGATCGGGTGAAGTACTGGATTACAATACACAACCCTTATCTCGTCGCTTGGCACGGATACGGCACAGGGCTTCATGCCCCCGGAGAGAGGCGCAAAGGTGCTGCCTACGTGGTGGGACATAACCTGATCAAGGTAGGGCAGGGAGAGTTTTTGTCATAAAGTGGCAGCCAATCCTAGCACAAAAGGAAAGGTGTAAGAACGAAAGAGGACAGTGGGCACCGGGCAAATAATGCTTCCTTTGCACATGAAGTGTAATTTTTTTGCTTCCTCGCAATAATTTCTCTACATTTCTCGGGAGGAAAATAAATCTACGGCTGGTCTAATTGCACCATAGAAAGTCAAGGAGATCACGAATCCGTTGTTAACAGTGCTATCTTTTAGTGGGAATTCGCCCTTTGACAAATCTTGCTTGTCTGCTGACAAGCTTTCTTTTTAGTTTGTCCTGATTCCCTAATAATCAGAGTCCTAGAAATGTTGAGACGAGCCCCCCAAACTATAGCTGATTGCTCTAGAGTTCAAGCCAAAAGAAGGAATCACAAATACATTAATTCTGGAGTGGTAACTTCTCATTCCAGATTGTGGCCTCCCCCCCCACCCGCTGCTGATCTCACACATTCTTTTTGTTTCAAGATAAACATGTCAATATTTACCAACGTCGGTAGGACATC